ATTTACTGAATAAATGGCAGTGAGTAAATACATAAATGTTAAGTAGTCAAAGTATTCCCTATTTTGCTTAAAGTGAGTGATTTTCTATTGATGTCTTATGATTTTATAAGTAGTGCCGAAACCATAGGTCCTCTGGGAGTATAAAAAAATAAATTCTGTAACTGAGATTCTTGTTAAATAACCAGATGGGAAAGATATCATTACCAATCCCACATTCATAATTCAATAATGAATTGCTCCAGGAGGAACTGAGGTAGAAATCTGTATGATCAAAAAAAAAAGAAAAAGAACTATGTATGATCAGATTAATAGAAGTTGCTGTAAAATATCACTACTCCCTATGTCTAGGAAATAAAGAAAACCTTTGGAGGAGGAAAGGGAAGTAGGGGGTTGAAGTAGAATCCTAAATTATTTCAGTTTGGCACAGATACACTATCAATAAATGCTAAGGTTAACTCACTTTTTAAAATAAAATTTGAGATTTTAATATTCACAAAAACCATTATGTTTTAAACAGAAAGGTACCATACATATAATATTCACCTGATTTTTGTCCTAAAATAAGCTAGCCATCCTTATGTGCAGTATCACTTTAAATTCATGACTTTAAGTAATAACATGAAGCAGTATGGTAACTAGGCATGTTGAAAAAGTTCAGACAGGGCTGGGTTTCAATGCAGTTCTGCATGGCCTATTTATGTGCCCTTGGACAAATTATTTAACCTCAATTTCTTTACCTGTACAAGAATAGTGTTATTTATTTTCAAGGTTTTTGGAAGGTATTAAAATGGAAAATGCCGATGAAGTATGTGGCATTGCATCTGGTACATAAATAACTAACAAATGTTAGATATCTGATGATAAGTAAAATTTCAAAAATGTTTCAGTTACAAAGTAAGTTTCTTTTAAAGAAAACTAATTTAGTGTCTTAACTTATAGGTATAGGAACCATTAAATTAATATTTTGAATTTGCCAGACACTAAGTTTTAATAGGACCTGGCTTTTATTACTTTTCCAGAGCATCCTGTACATTCTTTATTATCTATATGATTGTTTGATTAGTGTCTCTCCACTCCTCTAGTCTCTAAGTGCCATGGAGGCAGAAACATCTATTTTGCTCACATTAGATCCCCAGTACTCAGTTCTGAGCAACTGAATAAAATACTGACTGCCTGAATGAAGGCTACTATACTAAATTTCATGCTCATCTCCACTACACAAAATAGCTTTCTTCCCCCACTTTACATCAGGAGATATTAAACTAGAAAGGTTAAGTGACTTGCTAAAGATCAGAGAGGAAAAGTGTCAGGACTGGAATCTAAGCCTTGGTCTCCTAATACACCATATTGAATACAAAATGAAAAAGCATCAGTGCCATGGCATGAAAAAAGAAATAATTCCTTGTTTTAAAGGCAAGGACCATTCTTCACAAAGTTATACCAAAATTGCTTTTATAACGATCAACATGCATGTTAAAAAAATAATGACCCTGCAATTTTTTTCTCGCTTTATTGATTTTACTGAGAAGAATGCCCTACAGAGAGGAAGGAAATCTAAGTATTATTAATTGAGATCCTCATTCCTCCTTGTAATAAGAAGCAATTACCATTAAATTTCCAAATCTTCACCACTTACTTATAAAAATATATTAAAAAAGAATGCTCATTTATTAGACAACTAGTTATTCAGTGCCTATCATATGTTGTACATAATGTTCAGCACTTAGGATATAGTACAGAATAAGACAGACAAGGAGCCTCTTCTCATAGAGACTATATATTTTAATCTTAGGAAGCCTACTCTTTTCCTTGTATATATATTTTTAATTTCTACAGAGACAATCTAATTGTTTTTTGGAATATTTTCAGCCTCAAAGTGAATTATTATTATTTCCAGTCACATATTCATTATAACTGAATTAGATTAAAACAAAACAACTTATAAGTTTCATAGAGTTCAAGTATTTTACAAATAAAATATTCTCAGTGTTACCACCTAAGAGTTAAGGAAATGATTTTTGCCCATGCTTTCCCCCCGGCACAAATAAACTAATGTTGGTGTGCTGTTACAAGTACTTTCAAAGTGGAGAGCCAAAATGGTCATTCACCAAAATAAATAGTTTTTATCCCATAATCCTGAAGCAAGTATATGAGTTCTAAACACTGCCAAAACACTATTGGCATCAATCAAGCCTGGAACATCAGGTAGCCAACTAAATTTAGGACTTGAACTGAATGTTCATATATCAGATGATGGTTAAAAAATGAATAAATGAATATATTAGATGCTGGTTAACTGATTAGGTGCAGTTTTTCTTAGCCATAGTTCAGAATTTGGCTGTTAACATATAGTATGTTAGTGAGCCATCCAATGGAATCATACTGAAGACTGTACCCTTCCAAGATTTACAGAACTGAAGATAGAAAATCAATGGCAATAAACATTTATATATAAGATTATAAATTACGTAGAAGCAAAATGAAAAGATAAGGATCATCCCAAAAAAGTTATCATCAGACCCAAAATTTACAAGCATAAGAAACATAATACTCAGGGTACTCTGGATCTTTATAGGAACTATACAGATAGTATTAAATAACAGTGAGAAAAATAATTTCTGCTTCAATTTTCTTCAATCTTTATATCAAGAAGAAAGTCTCATATGGTGGCTATGTCTTTAACACCTCATGAACATGTTCTCACTTCCCCTTTAACAGAAAGTGGATCTGAATTTGCTGGCTTTGTGAACCAATAGTATCTAGATCAGATAATGCTGTTTACACCAGTGGTTCTCAAATGTTTTGGTCTTGGGATTCCTTTACAGTCTTAAAAATTATTCAGTACTCCAAAGAACTTATGTTTTATGTGGATTATGCATATCAATATTTAATATATGAAACCTAAGACACATTATAATATTTATCATTTAAAATAATAAGTCCATTACATGTTAACATCCCTTTTTTATGAAAAACTATATTGTATGGCGACTAACATAATAAAATTAAATTAAAAAAAATATACTTGTCAAAAATAAAACAAAAAAAGGTGAAAAATGGCACTGATAGGGACTTTTTCAAATCCCTTTAATGTCTGGCTTAAACAAACAGAACTAGATAGAAAAAGGAAAACAGCCAGGTGTTCATATTTTCTCCTGCATTCAATCATTTGCAATATGTTGTTTGGTTGAAATATATAAAGAAAATCCAGGTTCCCATACATATGAACCTGGAAAAGGGAGGAGCATTTTAATAGTCTTCTCAAATACTAGTGTTTTTTTTTAATACTACACCAAAACTCCACAAGAGATAAAAACTACTTAGACAGCGCTCCCTCAGCTCTTTTCTTGGCTGAGTCCTTCAAATAGTTACGTCTTGGCTCTATATGTCAGCTCTTCAGAAAGACAGTCACCATCTAAGCCACTTAAATAATAATCTTATTATAGATTTTCAACCTTACAATCTTACAATAGATTTCTTCCAAGTCACTCTTATTACATGGAATATTTAAATATCACAATTGATGCCATAAAACGATTTTACTTCAGTAATAAAAAAATGTATCAAATGAAGGTGACAGATAACAATAATAAATGTCATTAATTTGATTATATAATTCCTTTTCTACTTTATATGGCATTAAGTAGAATAATAAGTGGCAATCAATCATCTACTGATTCATAACCTGGTACTTAAACAACATAATGACCTGGTCTACTTAATCCAAAGGTTGATCATATGTCGGATCTAGACTTCTTGTTAACGGGGAAAAAGAGGGAAAAACATTCAAACAAAGAGTGGAATTTATAATCATAGATATTAGACCCCATGGGACACAAGATAAATCACTTTATTCCTCTGAGTCATTTTCCTCACAGTTAAGGTGAAAGGTGTCATTTTACGTCACCATAGTGTTCCAAATTTGAAATTTAAAGAATTCCATAATCTATCATTCTATAATAAGAATAGGCTCAAATGACTTATTTGGTAAATTTAAACTATTGAATGACATAGAACTATTATTTATAGATGAATTCATTTTAGAAAGGCTTTTTTGGTAAGTGAAAATCAAATTTACCCATTTACGAATTCAAAATTTTATAAATTTGAAGTCAGATACGTTTAGTTTCATTAGGTATTAAATATTTGCTCTGAATATATTAAAACTGAATATATTTGACATTTTTTCTTTTGTTGCATAGGTTTTCCATCTTATCATGCAATTGTTAACATTTTGCACTGAAATACTTTGTGCCATGCAAAATGAGTGCTAAATCTTTCCGATTAATGGGGTACACGGCATAGACTGAACCATACAAAACTGTTACTTTTCCAGGTCAAAAACAGTGGAATGTGGGAAACTTCATATATTATAATCTAATTATTTATATGGCCGATTAAAGACCATATGAGAAACTGCTCATAAGAAATAACTTTTCTTCTAAATTGTATAAATTTTTAAAAATTTTTAATTTTATACATTTTAAATTTTATAAAATATCCATACGGTCTTTCTGCACTACTATTAATCCAAGTAATACTAATTTTCTAATAAGTGAGAGTATTTTACAAAGAACTCTAAGTCTCACAGATGCTACTAATAGGAATCCTGTCCTTAGGAGGCTTGCATTCTGATAGGCAAAATGACAAAGTACACAACAATATAGACAGTAAAAAGAGAGAAGTATTAGAAGATAGTGTGGTCAATACAAGATTGCTTCGTCTTCAAGGAAAGTGTGCCCTTTGAGCAAGGTAAAGAGATTTGGAGGTGAGGTATTAATTTATAATTTATAAATGAAAGAGAGTAACTACTTGGTGGTTTAACTTCTTCCAATGGTACCACAGGCTTTTAAAGACAAACATCACAATCGCACTCAGGCAGGCATCCCTGATAATGCGGACAAGCAGGTGCAACGCCAGGTCACAGAAATCTGCCTTGCTAGGTCACCAGGCAGCCCATCCCAGGCCTGCAGGGGAAGCTCGTGGAGGCTTAGCCTCACCTGACTGTCCTGACGACGAAGTACACCAGCACCGCGCCGCTCACCACCATCAACACGGTCAGGGCCCGCTGGGTCATAGGCTTGTCGCCGGGGTTGGGGCTCACAGCAAGGCTCCCACCCACTGAGCCTTCTTCCCCCGCCTTCCCTCCGGAGTCTTCTGCTGAAAGCCCCGCCCGGGGGCTACTGCCATTGCCGCCCTCAGCGCCCCGCGGCCCTGCGGCTTGTGCGGGAGCGCCGCCCGGCACCTGGGCGGCAGTGGGGCCGGGAGGCAAGGGCGGCAGGGTCCGCGGCCCGCGGTCCGGACGCCCAGGGTTCGGTGCGGCCTCGGCCGCCTGCAACAGCAAAGGAAAAGGCCCTCCCAAACCTGGCAGCAATAGCAGCAGCAGGAGGGCGGAGGCCAAGAGGTGGCTGAGACAGCAACTGCAGTGCGGGACCTTCATCGTCCCCGGACTGCCCTCTCACCACGCGGGAGCCGCCGGGCCCGCCGCCCTGGCTCCAGGAGGAACCATGGGCGCAGTGGAGAACGAAGAAGTGACCAAACCCTGAACTGAGGCCCGGCCCTGGCAGGTGGCAGGAGCAGGAGCAGCAGTAGCGGCAGCGACAGCTGCCAGGACAACCGGAAGTTCGTACATCTCAGCAGCCGGTGACACTACGGACGCTTTAGGTTGCTACAAGTAGGAGCAGGCGCGTTCAATGACGTCAGGCGCGCACGGTCTTCTACGCACGCGCCCTGCCAGAAAGAACGGACAAGCTCTGCGCTTTGGTCAGAAGTAGGAAGTAGGAAAGTAAGCAAAAGGAGGTTGTGTAAAGTGAACAGCAACTATGCTTAGGGAACCATGAGAGACTGGAAGCTCATAATTGAGTTCCTTGGTGCAAAACTGCAGAAACAGCTAATCATTGGTCAAGACGGGCTTGACTTTCCCTCAGCTTAGGTATAAATTATGGACCTCTTTCTGACTGCCTCTAAGACTACCTCCCTTTCCTTGGAGCATTTACTTTAGAAACTTGTGATTGTAAATTCATTCTCTGTCCTTCTGGGATAGAAATACTTTTAAAAGTTCGTGCCAGTTTTACAGCCAAGGGCTGTCTTTTTAAAAGAACATTTTTTTTTGAAATGTAATCAAAGAAGACAGCCACCCTTCTCTCTCCCAGTCTCTGTGGAAGGGTAGGAGAGCCTGACTCAGGCGCGCACCTTGTGCCAAATTGTAAAACTACCTTCTGTCACGAAATTAGGGTAAAAAGGAAGCATTTCCTTGGGGGAAGGCCAATTAGTGGTTTATGATGCACGCTACCCCAGCTTTTAAAATCTCCAGCAGTTTCCAAGGACGTAAGCTGGAATAGAGTTGTGGCCTCTCTCTTGCCATAATCTTGAATAAAACCTTCCTTATCTATTTAATTTTGACATCAGTAACATGGAATTTTGGTTTGAGCAGATAATTAACAAACAAAAAACGCCTGACCAGAACCAGAAGTTAACATTTGTTTTTTTTTTCGAAAGATTTTATTTGTTTATTTTTTAATTTCATTTTTTTAAAGATTTTATTTATTTATTTGAGAGAGAGAGAGTGAGAGAGAGCATGAGAGGGAAGAGGGTCAGAGGGAGAAGCAGACTCCCCACTGAGCGGGGAGCCTGATGTGGGACTCAATCCTGGGACTCCAGGATCACGACTTGAGCTGAAGGCAGTCGCTTAACCAACTGAGCCACCCAGGCGCCCAGATTTTATTTATTTATTAAAGAGAGAGAGAGTGCAAGAGCACGAGCAGGGGGAGGGGCAGAGGGAGAAGCAGTTTCCCCGCTGAGGAGAGAACCCCTTGGGGGGCTTGATCCCAGGACCCTGGAATCATGACCTGAGCCTAAAACAGACACTTAACCAACTGAGCCACCCAGGCGCCCATCATTTGTTCTTTTTTTTAAAAAAACTTATTCATTCAACAAGTTGATTAGAATTTCTGCTCCTTGCTTAGCTGTGTGCTAAAATTTGAGTATCTGACAGTAGACAAATAAGATGTGATCCTTGTTCTTATAGCACTTAAGTGCATCTTAATAGCACAAAAAAGTAATTGCACTCTTTCTGAACTCTGCAGTTTGTTATAAATGACAAGTACAAGGTCTATAGTAAAACTTTGGTAAAGGGCTATTTTAGTTAGCATGGATGGGATAATATCTTTTAGCAACTTTATGCTTTAGCTGGAAGTAACAGAATAATGCACTTGCTCCTGTCTGGTAAGTTTGCAGGGACTAGGCATCTTAATGCTGGGTTGCAGTGAGTGTGAAGAGCATCAGTGACACACCGTAATTTTAGCTTCCAACCTGGCCTTCATCAGTAATAAAATGGCTGTTTGGATTTTCTATCTCCCTTATTCACAACTTTCTTCAGAGCCATATATGGAAGAGGGTTGGTATTTAATGCTCCCCTCCACCTTTCAAAAAGTCCAATATACAACAAATTAAAAAAAAATGCATCATCTTTCCTTCCTTATAATATGTCATTTTATCAGTGTGTACTTCATCTTCATTGATGGCATCATTCTTCTCTCATATTTAAGCATGAAATCTCGGAGTCATCCTTCACCATCGGTTTACCATCTGCATCAATCCTTGCCAGTAACTGGGACATACAAAGTGCTAAATAATTGAAGTAGCAAAGTCAAACTAATGCTTGCAAGTGATTAGAATATATTATGTTCTAATTTTTCTTCAAATGTGACTCTCAGCCACCTGAATCAGAATCAGAAATGGGGGCGCCTGGGTGGCTCAGTTGGTTGGGCGACTGCCTTCGGCTCAGGTCATGATCCTGGAGTCCCAGGATCGAGTCCCGCAT